AACAACTAAACGACAACCACAACAACAAATGCAGGTATCCGTACAAAAGACATACAGAGATGCACTACTGTGCGGGAAATTGCTCAAACAAAATGTGTCTATTATGTGTGTGATAATGCTGACAAGTTTTGTGAGAGACTTTTATTCTAGACAAAAAATGGGGAGCAGGGAACTGGCCCAAGTCACCCAGAGTGAGCTTCGTGACTGAGTGTAGGCTTGAACCCAAACCTCCCAAGTCCTAGTCCAACACTCTAGCCACTACCCCACACTGAAAACCTGGCAATGACCAGGACACCAAGTTGGAGGCTATAGAGTAATTCACTAAGCAGTTCCCTGAGTTCCTGACTCTGAGCCTGGTGTTCAGGGGACCACTGGACTCAAGGCCTATGGGGTGGGCAGGCACCCCCTGAACCAGCAGAGTTAGGACCCCCATAGACACCTTGTCCTGGGCCCAAGTGCTCCAGGTCCCAAAAGGGAAGTGCAGCCCATGGAAGGTGGATCAGAAGCAGAGGTTGTGGAGCATGCATCTCAAGATGGGTATGGTTAGGCTGGAGAAGAGAAAGGAGAGCCAACCTCAAATAGCTGAAGAGGGAAGATGGAGCAAGCTTGTTTTGTGATGCTCCAGTGGATCTGAGTGACAAGAAAGAAGATTCTGACCAAACATTAGGAAGACCTTTTTAACAGTAAGAGCCATTCAACAGTGGAATGGACGACCTCAGGAGGTGATGGACTCTCCTTCCTTGGAGGTTGCCCACACTGACTGGCAGCAGCGGGTTGCAGGGAGGGCACATTCCTGGCTCTACCTGGAGATGCCACTGGGGTTTGAACCTGCGACCTTCTGCATGCAAGGAAGATGCTCTGTCACTCAGCTCTAGCCCTTAACCCCTATATAACCGTGTTGCTCTCTTGTGGATTTTGGAACACACCTAGAGTAAGTGGAGAGCCCTGTTCCTTAAGCCTGAATTATGAAGCTTTGTGGTCATTGCACAAAGCTGTTTCTGTCCTGCTTGCTATGAAACCCAATATAGCGACCTGTGCCAGGCTGGGTTGGCACCGCCACGTGCAAAGGGCACTCGCTCCGTCTTCCCCTCTGTCGAAAAGGTTGCTGTCCTTCGGCCTGTGCTAGGCAACTGGATCCCCTGCGCGCTTTTCCGCCTGTGCAGATGAGACCCGCCGAGGTCGCTCTCTCCTGCAGTTCCTCGCAGCGAAAAATGCAATTAAAGAAAGGAAATTGCACAGAGAGCGACCCTCAGCTGGAACAATGGAAGCCCGAGCCCTAATGAGCAATTGATTAAATACAAAGCCTGCAAAGATGGAAGGTGCTCTACTCACTACAAAGAAGATGAATGGGAAAGGAGGTCAGGGAGGGGGGAAATCACAGGGCCGGACTGGCCATGAGACAAATGGGACATTTGTCCCGGGCATCAGCCCTGTAGGGGGTGCCAATCTGACAAGCCAAGATCCAAGATTCCCTGTGCTAGGTTCTTGTAGCTGCCTGCCTGGCTACTGCTGCCGCCATTTTCCCCGAGGGGGGCTCCCTGCCTTTAACATCCGCCATGTGACAGGTGGATATTCAACAGGTTTGCATGCCATGGTGAGGAAATCTTGGCCTGTTTGATTTCTTCCTGCTAAGATCAAGGAAAGCTTTTCTAGGAATGTGAGCGGGACTCCTGGAAGTGCTTTTTAGGCAGGAGAAAAGAAGGCACAAAGGGATCAGGAGACTGTTTAATGGGCAAAGGATAAAAGCGATAAGCCATCGCGTTTGATTTCATGGAAACAGGTTTGTCGCAATCATGCACACACACACACACACACACACACACACACACACACTCCACCAGGTGACCTGTTTACTGAACATTTCATCCCAATCTGTTTGCACAAAGCTCATTGGAGGTTCGGCTATGTCCAGCCTGTATTCTGATTGGTTTGAGGGGTGGTCATACGACAACAAGCCTTCTTCCTGATTTGCTGATGGGGTCCTCCCTCCCTCCCACCAACCAGTCATTTATCCCACACTTTTTAGAGCATTTCCCTGAAGCAAAAATGAAAAAAGGCTGGGTTATTGTTGCTTTCCCCCCTTGCCTGCTTTCAAAGTGGATATCTTCTGCTTAGCTGACGGAGCACTTTAATCCGCTTTAATTGCACACACCTAAATTTCCAAGGATGTGCTTAGAGCCCTCCCACAAAATGCATCCTGGAGGCGGCCAATAAAACTGACAAGTAGAGCCTGTGAGAAAGCATTGCAAAATCTGAAGGGCTCCTGCTCCAGAGGTGTGGCCCGTTCCAGCAGACTCCATTCCACCCTGTGTTAATTTTTAATTTTTTAATTACATTTATAGCCCATTTTTTCTCTCCAAGGAACTCAAGGTGGTACATGCTGTTTCTCCCTCTCCTCATTTAACCCCCTTAACAAGCCTGCAAGGTAGGTTAGGCTGAGAGGCAGTGACTTGCCCAAAGTTGCCTCAGTGAGCTTTGTGGCCAATAAGTAGGGATTTGAACCCAGGTCTCTCCCGGGTCCTAGTCCAACACACTAACCACTACACCAGTGGGGGGAGTCAAGAGTCAACCATTTCCCAACAGTCTGTCTCAGCATTTCATACCTGCTTAGCAGGTTTGGTCCATCTTGGGCTGTTTAGAGTTGCTAGATCGTTTTGTTTCTTAACAAAATTTTGTACTTGGATGGTTCCCTGGAAGCGGCTGATGCCTTTTTCTTCTCTGCAGCTGATGCTGTTTTAACCACGTAAGGATTTGTGCTCAGAGAATGAGTTTGCTATTAGTGTAAATGTTGTCTGCTTACACTATAAATGATCATAGCAAACAGGATATGGCACTGGGAGAACATCCATCAGCCTTGACTGCAGCAGCAGCAACAGTGTTGGGTTCTGGTCTGACACCAGATCCTGCAGGGCAAGACTGGCCAGTGGCTGTAGCACCACGGACAGGGCCAAGAGGAAATTTGCTCTGAAGGAGGTTGCGAGGAGACTGAGGCTTTTTACCTCTCTGGCCCAGAGTCCCATCAGACTCCACCCCTTTGTGGAGAACTACACCGCCTTAAAGGGGGTCAGGCCTCAGGCAACCCTACTCCGTTCCAAACTCTCCCTGCAAATCGAGCCAGGTTCAAGGCCCTTGCATTGCATAAGAACAGGAGAAGAGTCCTACTGGATCAGGCCAATGGACCCTCTAGCCCAACACCCTGTTCTTACAGTGGACAACACAGCAATCAGGATTCGAATACAAGACCCATCTCCCCTCCTGCAGTTCCCAGTACCTGGTCCTCAGAAGCACTGCTGCCTCCAACTGTGGAGGTAGGATAGAGAATTCATTGCTACTGGCCACCGAGAGCCGACTCCTCCATGAATTTGTCTAATCCACTTTTAAAGTCGTTGAAGTTGGTGGCCATTGCTGCCTCCTGCAAGAACAAGTTTATATGTAAAAATCCCACTCCCAGCTCAATCACCGATATCACCTGCACTGGTTGTTCTCCGAGTTGGTGAATGTTGCTGTGTTATTATCTCCCTTAGTGGGTTGTACAAAATGATATTCTAAGTAATGGAATGTGATATATTGTAATAGTTGAGAGTGGTTTTCTGTTTAATAATTATTTGCTGATAATTTGAGAGTTCATTTTGTTGTGTAACATTGTATTCCAAAAGACTTATTAAATACTACTTTATTTGATGTAAGGTTTATCTTAAAGTGGTATTTTTTATTGTTTGCACTAAATTAGACTGCTATAGGATGTGTGATCTTGGTTGTATATTTTGTCGTTCATTCAGCTTGTAAACCACCTTGAGTATCGCAATCTAAAAAGGAGGAATTTCACAAATTAAAAGTGAAAAGAAATCAGTGTTTTTATAGGGCAGGGGGCACTGGGGATGAGTTTATAGAACTGAGGAGGCAGTGACCCCCCCCCCAGCAGTTTGGTAAGCAGTGGGGTTAGCTCACTCCCTATGGCCAGTTTTAGGATGGGAGGGTTAGGCTTTCCGCTTCTCCACCCCTTCCCTTCTTCCAGAATTTATGCATAAAAGCATCTGCTAGGAATCAAGATGGCAAATCAACCCATTTTGGAGAGAGAGAGAGAGAGTGGGGAGATTTGTACCAACAGTGGCAGGAGGAAAAAAAATGGGGCATCAGCCTTGGGCAATTGGCTGGTCCAGGATTCCAACCCCACCCCTCAGGCCCAGTGGAAAATGTGGCGTCTGTTGGAGGATTAGGCAAGCATTCCCAGTTGCAGGAGCTCATTCAGGTTTTTTAAAAATTATTTTCCTTCCACCTGGTTGATCATATTTGCTGCTTTCCCTCAGCATCCTTTCCAGTTCAGCAACTGCCGTGCGGCGGTCCACAGCAAAGCAAGAGGGCTCTGGATTGTGCAAATTTATTAATTCACACAAAGCCCGAGGGATGGGGCGTGGAGGGAGACAGGCCTGGTGCATTGCAAGGTGGGCAGGTGGTTGTGTCACTGGAACAAAGGGAGCTGCCTTATGTCTAGTCAAAAGATTGGTCCATTTAACTCTGTAGTGTCTACAGTGATTGGCAGGAGCTCACCAGGATCTCTGCCCAGGAGGCCAGGAAAAAAAACCACCCAATTTTATCCCTCTGCCTTCCATAAAGGTTTGATCTGCAGAAATCAGGAGGTGATTTTTATTAGAACAGAGGAAGTCAGACCATTGGGATCCAATTGGCACAGTACAGTGGTACCTCGGGTTAAGTACTTAATTCGTTCCGGAGGTCCGTTCTTAACCTGAAACTGTTCTTAACCTTAAGCACCACTTTAGCTAATGGGGCCTCCCGCTGCCGCTGCACCGCCGCTGCATGATTTCTGTTCTCATCCTGAAGCAAAGTTCTTAATCTGAAGCACTATTTCTGGGTTAGCGGAGTCTGTAACCTGAAGCATATGTAACCTGAAGTGTATGTAACCCGAGGTACCACTGTATTGGCTACTCTGTTTGGCAGCCGCTCTCGAGGGTTTCAGAGAAGGAGTCTCTCCTAGCCCTGCCTGCAGATGCCAGGTCTAAACCTGGGACCTTCTGCATGCAAGACAGAAGCTCTACCATTGAACTATGGTCACGCATTGGTAAGAACTTTCTGAGGGTAAGCAACCATTCAAAAGGGACTACCAGGGAAGATGGTTTTTCAACAGAGGTTGAAGGGCTGTCTGCCATGGGATTCTTTATCTGCACTTTCTTCTTGTAATTGTGCTGTTTCGTTTATTCTTTTAGTTGTTTTGCTGAGGGTGCTTTATGGATCGTAATTACTTTACTGACGATTTGTTAATTGTGCTATATGATTTGTGCTGCATTTGTGATGTTCTATTTTGTTGTTCATCATCATCATAAACTTTATTGCGCTAGCCAAAGGCCATGGCATCCTTCACAAAGGAAACAAAAAGAAAAACAACAATAACCATAAAAACATCAGTCACTGCAAGTACAATAAACCACGGTCACTTCTCCTAGAAATTATTTGTTGCATACGATGGAATAGCAGGGGGTTCTCAGATAGAATGTGCCAGCTTAAATGTCCAAATCACCTTTGCAATTGACCGCTATTTTCTCTAGTTCTTTTCTCCTGATCTTCTTAGCTGCCAATGCATATAGTGCTACTTTATAAGTTACGAAGTCATCAGTATCACTCAGCAGCCATTTCACCCTTTCCGCCCTGTTCGAGTGTGTTCCATTCGTAAGCAGGGGTTTTATAAATTGGTCTCTTGGTTCTATACAGTCATGGGTAAAGGTAAAGGGGACCCTTGACCATTAGTTCCAGTCGTGACCGACTCTGGGGTTGCGGCGCTCATCTCCCTTTATTGACCGAGGGAGCCGGTGTACAGCTTCTGGATCGTGTGGCCAGCATGACTAAGCCACTTCTGGAGAACCAGAGCAGCGCACGGAAACGCCATTTACCTTTCTGCTTTATTGCTTTACCTTTATTGACCGAGGGAGCCGGTGTACAGCTTCTGGATCATGTGGCCAGCATGACTAAGCCACTTCTGGAGAACCAGAGCAGCGCACGGAAACGCCATTTACCTTTCTGCTGGAGCAGTACCTATTTATCTACTTGCACTTTGACGTACTTTCAAACTGCTAGGTTGGGAGTTGTCATATCTTGTGTTAATGTTGCTTCAGGTTGAACATTTTCAGGTTGCGTCCCATGGTGACCTGGAAGTAACTGAACAGGTTACTTCAGGGTTTTGCCGCTCATGCATGCGCAGACGCTCAGAATGACGTCACGCGCATGCGCAGATGCGCAGATGCGGTGAATCGCGATCTGCGCACATGCAGACGTGGGTTGCAATCTGCTCATGATGCGAACGGGGCTCCGGAACGGATCCCGTTCGCATCCAGAGGTACCACTGTATATAGCGGGCATTGCAATAAATAGTGGTACAGGTCCTCTACGTAAGGTTGCCCACACAGACAGAGTCTTTCCATGTACCGTACTATTATTGTGTTGTTGTTATTTATTGTTTGTATGCTGCTTAGTGATTCATTTGAATGAAAAGCAGCACAGAGATACAGTATAATAGATCACTCCTATGGTCCCTTCCAACTCTACAATTCAATGATTATATTACCTGGGAGGCTTCTTGTTTCCCGTGACTGGTTGCGTCCCTCTGCATTGTCTTCTGCTGTTTATGCACAAACACAATACAAGCTGGGTTAGTGACAAGTCACACTTTATTCTTGATGAGGCCTGGGAGCCTGCAAATGGTAGGCATTAACTGTTGATGCCAGGCCACGCCTTTGGGCCAGCTCTCCAGGTGCTGGCTTCTTACACAACAAAGAAGCCACTTCTGGAAACCTAGTGGAAGTTTAGGGCTCATTTCCACATTAATTGTTTCCAGGGGGGGGGGGAAATACTTTTGCCACCTACTTAACTTGGGAAATCACAGGGAGGTGGGTTGCATTGAGTTGAGGAAATTTGGGGCAGTATTTAGTGCAAATCTCTCCTAATAAACACATTTTTGTCTAAGGTTTTGACTAATGTGCACATTTTTGCAAGTAATTGCTCCTAATCTAATGCATTTTAATATATTATTTTCCCAATATCTTCATTTTTATGCATACTGTAACACGACACATGCATTTTTGTAAACATGGTTCGGTTGGAAAACTGCATTGCAAAATTCAGAAATGATGATGACTAATGACAAATAATTCTCTGGCCTCTTTTAAAGTTGGAGAACCAGTGTACAAATGAAGCAATCGGCAGAAATCGGCCAATTTTGTTTTGCATGTGACAGTGAGAGAGCAGCAGTGTGAAGGGTTATTGGCAGTGAAAACACAAGTATGTCTTCTCAAAAGTCAGTTGTATTGAATTCAGTGAGGGTTACTGCCAGGTAGCAAGGTTAGGACTGCAGCCCTAGTTCATGCTTAGGGATAGGAGGACCTGTCAATTTCACTAAATTTCTCATTTTTCCAATATTGAATTCAGTTTTTCACATTTTGCAGCAATTTGTGGATTTAAAAAATCCTCATGAAAAACCTTCCCCATTTAGTACAAATTTCTCCTGATAAACACATTTTTGTCTGCAGTTTTGAATAATGTACACATTTTTGCAAAGAATTGCTCTGAATCTAATGCATTTTTATACATTATTTTCATCAATATCTTCATTTTTATGCACACACAACGTGCATTTTTGGTGACAATATCTCAAGAAGCGGCTGAACCCAAGGCCAAAAAAATGACGAATTCATGCCACGGTCATGTTTCAGTTCTCCAACTCAATTCAAAAAGGGTGTCTAGAATGGAAACCTTGACAAAAATTATCACCCCCACCGAGAAAACCCTTGTGCCAACTTTGAAAGTGATGTCTTGTCAGGTGTCCAAACCCAAAGAAAACAGACAGACAAACCAATTCCCCAAATATAGTGTAAATTTGCAGCTGTGCTTGACAATTTTTGAAAAAGATTTTGTATCTGTGCACTGTTTCCCCCCTCCCAGTGTTTTCTCCTTTATATTTTTATGCTGCCGTTCTTATAAATATATGTTTTTTAATTATGTATTATGTATTTTTTTTTTCCTTGCTGTAATTGTATTCATTGTAACTGCTTTGGTTTTTTATCTTGAATGAATATTTGCGTATTGATATTACGTATTGATATTTGTGTTCTAGGTTGTGTTCTTTGCTATATACTGCCCTTTGATCTTTTGATGAAGGGAAGTGTATGAATTTAATAAATGAATGAAAATGAATGAATGACAAGTTACACATGTCTTTGTTCTTTTTCATCTTCTTCTCCTCCCACCCCAAAGAACATAAGAAGAGCCTGCAGGATCAGGCCAGGGGCCCATCTAGCCCAGCATCCTGTTCTCACAGTGGACAAACAGATGCCCCAGTGGGAAGACCGCAGGCAGGATTCGAGCGCAAGAGCACTCTCCCCTCCGGTGGTTTCCAGCAACTGGTATTCAGAAGCATTGCTGCCTCCCAACCCCATAAATAGATACCGCTCTGGCGGGAAGGTAAACGGCATTTCCGTGCGCTGCTCTGGTTTGCCAGAAGCAGCTTAATCATGCTGGCCACATGACCCGGAAGCTGTACGCCGGCTCCCTCGGCCTATAGAGCGAGATGAGTGCTGCAACCCTAGAGTCATCCACGACAAGACCTAATGGTCAGGGGTCCCTTTTTTTAAAGTTGTGGGTGAACATATCAGACAACACAGCGATTCTTCAAACAGCTCTTGTTTATTCACAGGCCAGAACAGAACTGAACTGAAGGGTTCAGCCAGCCTGCTTATATAGAGCTCCAGCAAAACGCAACTGTAACAACTTTCTGTAACTATCCAATCACTGAACGTCACTTTCAATCCCTTATTTGCATATGTGGACCTGAGTGAAAACTATCTACAGTATCCCCCTGCTGGCCCAGGGTGAGAACTTCAGTACATAACACCTTTACCTTTTACAAGCTCCCAAACCCAGCAGGTACCTGCAGAATCCCTGACAGGAGCCAGAACAACAGCAATAAGGGGGGGGGGAGAGACTGTTTTGCTGACCTCATCCTTTGCACGTTGGAAAGACTGATCTGGCTCTGTCCCCACACGCTGCAAACAGACGCCAACTTGCTCTGGGTCCCGGCGCATCTTGCAGCCAGCCTCCTCTTGAGCGCTGATTCATGTGAGCACACCCAGGTTGCAGGCCCCATCTGAGAGAGTGTGGTCAGGTTTGGCCATGCTCCACGGCCTGCCCGGGCCTGCAATCCTGCCCCAAGCAGTCAAAGGAGAAGCCAGTCGGAGAAGAAAAAAAAGCCTCCTGTTTTCTGGCACACGGTTAGCGTCTCCATCAGCCGGGGCAAAGTTCAGGCATGCTGGTCCTCCAGGCATCCCCCTGCCCTGGTGCCTTCTCTGGAGAGGCTGCGTTGCGGTTTGGGGTGGCACCGCTGGGCTCGTATTGGCAATGTTGCTCCATCGTCATCCAGGGACAGCGGGGCGAAGAGAGCTGATTCCGTCAAGGAGAGAGAGAGAAAGTGGGGAAGCGGTTACAGAGAATTTCACAGGAGAGCGGTTCCCAAGGCTGACTCAGCAGAGCGTAGCAAGCCTACGTGATAGAGAGGACGACACTTTTAACGCTTCTCCAAACTGACGATGCTTTTGAGCTGCCCTCAGCAGGAATCAAAAGGGGCACCTCTTGGCAAGGCCTCCTGTGAGGAAGGAATGAAAAGAGGCCCTTCTTGGTTCTTATTTTATTTCATTAATTGATTTTCTATCTCACATTTTTCCCCCTCGAAGGAGCTCAAGGTGGCCTATGTGGTTCTTCTGCCCCTCAGCATTTGATCCCCACAGCAACCCTGTGAGGCAGTGACTGGCCCAAGGTTACGCTGGGTGAGTTTCATGGCCAAGCAGGGATTTGATCCCTGGTCCTAGTCCTAGTGTCTGACACCCAAACCTCTAACCACCACACCAGGCATCCCAACCTGCGGCCCTCCAGATGTATTGGGCTACATCTCCCATGATCCCTAGCTAACAGGACCAGTGGTCAGGGATGATGGGAATTGTAGTCCAAACATCTGGAGGGCCGAAGGTTGGGGATGACTGTACTACACCATGCTGGAGAGGCCTCCTGTGAGGAAGGCGTCCGTTCCAATGGATGATGATCGCGGTTGAGTTGACTGAACTTGGTAAGTCCTGGTAGGATTTACAACAAGAGTAAAACACGAGGCTGTGTATCCAGTGATAGTCCCTACTCAGAGTAGGTCCATTGAAATTAATGAACATGACTAACTTAGGTCCATTAATTTCAGTGGATCTGCTCTAAGTAAAACTTGAGCCACATTCACACCATATATTTAGAACTCTAGCATGCTATTTTAAACAAGCATGGCTTCCCCCAAAGGATTCTGGGAGCTGCAGTTTGCTAAGGGTGCAGAGAACTGTTGAGGAACCCTTATTCTTCTCCCAGAGCTACAATTCTCGCAGTTCCCTGTGAAGAGGGATTGTTAAACTACTCTGGAAATTGTAGCTCTGGGAGGGGGTGGTAGAGGGGTCTCTGGACAACTCTCAGCACCCTGAATGAATTTTAGCTCCCAGAATTCTTTGGGGGAAGCCATGCCTGTTTAAAATAGTATCATAGCACTTTAAATGTTTCGTGTGGATGTGGCCTGGGTGAAATGCCCCTCACCCCAATTTCTCTGCCCCCCTCAGTGGGGTGGAGAAGTCTGGGAGACACCATTTGCAGACACCTCCTAGTCTTATGAGCACAGTATTAAAATCTGCTCGCTACACACACACACACACACACACACACACACACACATTCTGGGATCTGGTCCTTGACCCAAAATGTTACGCATCAGGGCTTCCCTCGACCCTGAGGGCTCTGAGGATTAACTGGCCAGCTGCAGAGTGCATACCCAGCGCGCCTGCCCATTCTGTCTGCGCTGCTGCCTGTTTTATGAATGGCTTCCCCCAACCATGTTTATTTTACCTTTTCAGAAAAAGATGACCATCACCCTCAGTTATACAAACATGCCTAGAGGCGAGAGGCAGACTTTCTGTCATTCTAAGCTATCCACTGTGTTATTATAGCTCTGGGCCTGAACAGCCAGCCACTCCTCTTGTCTAGGGATGGATTATTTGGAGGGGCGGGAGGCTAAGAATTAAATATGCTTTGCCCACCCCCTCCCCAGTTTAGCTTATTCCACTGTCAGCATAGGAGCAATCGGTGGCTCGCTTTAAGCTCACATAAGCAGTCAGGTGTGGGTCAAGCGGGAGTGCTTTGGAGGAAACTGCCTACCGTGAATCAGTCAAGTTTATTGTACATAGCCAAAGGCCTTCACAAGCAATAAAATACAAAATATCCAAAGCAATGCATAAGGCTTATGAGGGATGGTTGAGGGACCTGGGTACGTTTATTTAGCCTGGAGAAGAGAAGACTGAGAGGTGATATGAGAGCCACCTACAAATACCTAAAAGGCCGCCCCGTGGAAGATGGATTAAGGTTGTTTTCCGTTGCTCCAGAGGGCAGAACGAAAGCATTCAAATGACAAGGAAAGAGATTCCAACTCAACTTCAGGAAGAACTTTCTGATGGCAAGAGCTGCTCAGCAGTGGACTGGACTCCCTCAGAAGGACTCTCCTTCAGTGGAGGCTTTGAGGTAGAGGTCCTGGATACTTTAGCTGAGATCCCTGCATTGCAGGAAGTTGGCCTGGATAACCCTTTGGGTCCCTTCCAACTCTAGACACCCAAAGTGGACACTCATGGTAAAGACCCATTTATCCAGCTGGGGAAAACTTGTCCCAACAAAAACATCTCCAGTTGTTTCTGGAAAGGGCAGATCATGGGCACCTGCCGTATCTCGACAGGGATGCTGTTCCACAGAATGTTACCGTGGAAGATGCCCACTTTTAAAACAAAAATGCAGACTGCTGTGGTTAGGAAAGTGAAGGGAAGAGGCATTGGTGTGGGATGAACAAATGATGAATGGGAAGGTGGATAAACATACCAGAAGCAAACTAGGACGAGCAACAGACTGGCTCAGAGCCAGCGTGTTGTGTTAAATGTGTTGCCCAGCAGAATATGATGATGCTGATGCTTTTATATCCCACCTTTTTCTCCAAGGAGCTCAAGGTGACACAGATGGTCCCACCTCTCCTCATTTTATCCCCACAACAACCCTGTGAGGCAGGCTACGCTGAGAGGCAGTAACTGGCCCAAGGTCACCCAGTGAGCTCAATGGCCAATTGGGGATTTGAACCCTGGTTTCCAAGGTCCTAGTCCAACACTCTAACCACTACACTATGCTGCTAGTAATTTATTATTATTATTTTTAACCTTTAGGAAAGGCCATTTCAAGGATGGGCGGCACACTGCGTTCTTGAGTCTGCAGCAAAGCTAATGTGTGTCATGAAGAATTGTGCCACATATTGGGAAAGTGCATCCGAGCAGAAAAAACTGTTGCCATCTGCAGAAGCCCTTGAGGGAATAGCAGAAATAGGTCAGGCTCATCCACCCTGATTCAGAAGTAATGGGGTGTTCTTTTGCTCCCTGGTAGAAGAATGAACCTCCTGACGATTCTTAACTGAGAGCCCTGTGTGCAAATTCAGTGTGGGTGGACTGGTTAATTCTCGTTCACCTTAATGGGCAAGGATGGCCTAACTGCGTGGAAAGGAAATCTATAGGCCTGCCTCTCCCCACCACCCCATATGCATGAAATAAAATGCAGGAAGCTGTCTTGCACTAAGTCAGACAATGGGTCCCTCTCACCAGATATGGGGAACAAGTGTTTTTCCAGCTGTTGTTCGACTCCCAACTCCCATCACCCCCAAAAGAGCATGGGGTGATGGGATATCTGGAGGACACCACATCCCCCCACCCTAATCTACAGTGTATTGAGAACTGTAAGATGTTGTGGTTGATCTTGCCTTTTCCTCTTCCCTCCCTTTCCTTTTTCCTCATATGTTATGTCTTTTTTCTTGTTGTTTTTTTTAGATTGGGAGCCAGAGGGCCAGGGCCATCTAAGCATTGATTTCCATAAGCTGCACTGAGAGTCCTTTTTTGGTTCAAAGGCAGGGCATAACTGTTTCAAACAAACAAACAGACAGACAGACAGACAGACAGATAGCACATATTTTCTAGACAATGACTGGCTGCCCATTTGGGGTTTAAGGCAGGCAGGTCTTTCCTAGCTCCACCTGGAGATACCAGGGGTTGAACCCAAGCCCTTCTGCATTCAAGGCAGGTGCTCTAACCACTTAGCCCATCCTGTCCAGCATCCTGCTCAGAGTGACCAACCAGATGCCCCAATGGGGAGCCCCAAAGAAGGACCCGAGTGCAATGTGTTTCTATAACAACATCAGAAGAGCCTGTGACTCATCTAGTCCGGCATCCTGTCCTCACAGGGACCAAATGCCCCAAACAACCTAGGAATCTGGATAGACTGCCTTGGGACCTGGAGGTTCCATAAGAGCATCAAAACAGCCTTGCTGGATCAGTCCAGTGGTCCATCTAAGTCCAGCATCCTGTTGTCACAGTGGCCAGCCAGTGTCTGCGGAAAACCAGCAAGCAGGACCTGAGCACAAGAGCCTTCTCTCCAATCCTGTGGCTTCCAGCAACTGGTATTCAGAAGCATTGCTGCCTCCAGCCTGCTCAATAAGTAGGCTGTCTGGATGCACCCTCACTTGGCAAGAGGCAGGCAATTCTTTCACCAGTCCCCTAAGTACTGCATCCTTCCATACTTGCCCCAGAAGCAAAGCAGTAATCTAGAAGCTCCTGCTTTTTCCCCCAAGTGAGGGTTGCATGAGAACTGAATACTGATAGCTGAAATTGGCAGCCCCAAACGGATGGCCCCACCTCAGCTTACAAAAAGCACTTAACTGACCAAATGGCTTTTCATTATGTAGTTTAAGAAGCATCCTCTCTGCGGCTATAGATCCATCCCAGCCTCCACTGCCTGTGGGTCTGGCACAGCATCAAATGTCCCATTGCCAGGAGTTTGTTTTGTGCCGGAGAGGCAGGCATTGAAGACAGGAGAGGTTTGGCAGCCCGGCTTCCAGGAGCTTTTGGGTGGAAGGATGCCATTGACAGGCCTAGGGAACAGCGAGATGAGAGTTGGCCGAGAGTCAATGCGAGAGGCGCAGGGAAGAAGGCTGCTGCTGGCAACTTGAGGCAAAGCCGCGGCAAGCGAGGATTTGCATGGGCAGGTTCTGCCCTGGTCTGCATCCAGATTACTATGTGCACTGAAGTGTGAGAAATGCATGTTTCTAAGTGTTAAATGCACTGCTGCCTGTGCTCAAACGATGATCACTGTTTGGCTCGTCTGCATGTAAAGGTTCATCTGCAGCAAATGAAGACTTATGAACTGGGTTAGGAAGGCCCTGCGTTCAAATTGCACCTCTTCTGTGAACTCAATAAGACCACAATCCTACAGCAAGGTGAAAACGCGAGCAGCTTTTGAAATACGAGCATCAGTGTTAATTATTAAGATAAATAGGTTAAAATGGGATGTATTGAATCGTATGTGTAAAATACGCAGCATCCAAGGGTATAGCTGTCAACTTTTCCCTTTTTTTAAAGGGAAATTCCCTTATTCCGAATAGGATTCCTCACAAGAAAAGGGAAATGTTGACAGCTATGTCCAAGGGTAAATACTGAAACCATGGATGAGGAGGATGGGAAGTCAATGGATAAAGTAATTTATGGTCTTTTTTTGTTTTGTTGTTTCTTATGTGTGCAACAAATCAATAAATAAGATTTATTTTAAAAAAGAAGACTGCAATCCTATATACATACCCATGTCCTGGAGTTCATGCCTTAAACTCAGTAGGGTTTACTTCTGGGAAGACACATAGAGGATTGTACTCTAAGTCTGGTTTTATGGTGATTTTAAATAATTTGCTTGACTGCCCATATTATAAACTACATCAAGAATGCTTTGCTCAAACCCAGTTTCTTTATACACACAGCACCCTAAACATATGAGGAATGTCGGAAGATTCGGGACAGGCAAAAGAAGGGACCTTTTCACTCAGCACGTAGTTAAACTGTGGAACTCACTGCTGCAGGAGGAAGTAAAGTGATGTAAGAGAACTTCAGCAGTGCCAGTGAAGCCCAACCCTCAGTGCTGCAGCCTGGACTCATCCCATTTTAGTTCAGACACCTTCATTGATTGTTATGTCTAGGTCCTATGTAATGCGATTACAGACACGCACCCACACAGAGCAACCCGACTCTTCTGGATGCATTGAGAAATCCAGGAGAAAGTTCACTCAGCTGATTTCCCGGCCGATTTCTGCTAGGCAAAAGTCAGCCTGCCTCTGCTGTGCTGCAGGGGGGGGGGGGGGTTGGGGAGGTGGCGGCAAGGGACAGTCTGGTCTGATGCAATTCGAGACGGATGACTCGGCTGCTGCCAGACTCCTTGTCAGGTGGTCAAGGTGTTGAATGGAAGGCCGGGTGTGGGAGGAGGAGGAAGCAGATATCGATGCAGCCGCACTTGGCCAAAGAAGGGCAAATGGCACACACGCCCAACGCCCTGGGACTACACCTGCCGCCTGGCTGGAAAGTCAGGTTCATTCCGTTGCCGCGGGGTGAGATTTCACAAGGCGATGCTGGTGGCAGTGGCTGCTTTTTGCTGTCCCTGGTCTCCTGGCTCATCTTCTGTGCGACTAATGGTGTCTGTGTGTGTGTGTTGTGGCCTTTGCAGCCCGATGGACAGATTTTCAAATGAGAGAGCCAGGGGGTATAATGCAGAGGTGCAGAATACACATACCTGATCTGCCTTCTCCTTGAAACCTATTTGGCTGGCTGGAAGGTGTCCTTGAACTGCTATTGCATTTGACTTGCGTTTGTAATAACAATAATAATAATAATTTTGTATTTGTATGCCGCCCATCTGGCTGGGTTTCCCCAGACACTGTGGGCGGCTTCCGACACTCATAAAAGTAATAATAAAACACCAAACATTAATAGTAACAATCTGATTCAATATAAAAAGTCACAATAACTTTAAAATAAACAGCTTCTAACAAATAGTATGAACCCCACAACAGCCCTGTGAGGTAGGTGAGGCTGAGGGTGAGTGACTGTGAGCTTCCTGGCTGAGAGGGGATTTGAACTCTGGCCTGCTACGTCCTAGTCCAGCACTCTAACCACTACACCACACTGGCTCTCTTGTTGATGATGCTTCTTGTTTGTTGGCATGGATGGAGAGATCCGTGTTTGTGTGTGTAGAGCCCTTTGTCTGCTGTGCCGAAGTTAAGAGGGACATTCATTGCCCCACCCTGTAGGGGTTTCCATGGGGGGAGCTCCCCACCCCATGAATCCTAAATATATGTATTTGTTTTAATGCACACAGGCACATCCAGCTAGTCAAAAGAAAGGATTGAGCGCTTGTTCTGATCTAACAATGCTGCTTTTGCAAATGTTACAAGATCTAGAAATCCTAGAAAAAGAATAATAATTGTATTTGGAGACCCAGCAACTGTGCTGGAAAAACCGGGATATCCCGTGTGTCCCCCACCCCCAAGAGTATGGCAGCCATTTCATGGCATGCTATTGTCCCAAAGAAAGTCCTTTTTTGCGGGCAGCGATCTCACGTGGCGCTCCAAAACACGCGTTTCTGGGTGCTGCGAGAGCATGGTCTCGAAAAAGCACATCTTCTGGGCTCCGTGATCTCATGCAGGTCATGTGACTCACATGGAAGCACAGCCAGGAAGACACGCATCCTAGTTTTGAGGCTCAACATGTTGGAGGGTATTATTTGGACTCAGTGCACACCCTTTGGCCTGATCCATTAGGACACTTCTGATGTTCTGATGCAAAGTTCTGTGCCAGGGAAAGCCAGCCAACAACTTAATTTGCCTAGAGGCACATTTTTTGCATGTGCGCAGAACCCTTAGAACTGTAAGATGCGGCCATACTGTGCATAGACATTGGTTCTTCCTAACAGATGACAGGAGGATTTTGGGCCAGGTCCACATACAACACCCTGGCCCCAGAAAATCTTGTTGGGCACCTCAAAGCCCAGACCAAGCCCAGATCAGCATGAGCTAAAATTTTATTTACGTCCCTGAAAGCTAAACTGCATGAGGAGAGGAAGAACCATGTATGCCACCTTCAGCTCATTGGATAAAAAATGTGGGATGCAAATGCAGTAACTAAATAAGCAAACCTCCCTTGGCAGAGGCAGTCTACCACTGACCTGATACCAAGTATAAACTGAGAAGAGCACCCACCCAACTTGCTCTTCCAGGATGGAAATGGACTCCCTCCAAAGGTGGTGGATTCTCCTTCCTTGGAGGTTTTTAAGTAGTGGCTGACTGGCCCTCTGTCATGCATGCTTTAGTTGAGATTCTTGCATTGCAGGGGGTTGGACTAGAAGACCCTTAGGGTCCCTTCCAACTTTACAATTCTATTATTCTATTATCTGTACATATAAATCAGCCTATACAGATTTATGTCATCATGGGTTAGTGCCTTTTAAGCTGCCAGCAATAATGCCCTCTGCATGGACTTCTGCCTCTGGATTTGTTCTCTTTAACCTGAACTTGGGCCAGACAGTCCTTCAACCAAGGACACCCTTCAAACAGGAGCCTGTATTATTGAAAGCCCTTCAGAGAGAGGACTGTTGCCTATAAAGACAGACACGTGGTCACTCCGTCGCCCAGCAGTTGGGGAAAAGCACGAGTTGTGGGTGCAGTAGTGACCTTCCAAAGGATCTCGGCTCACTTCAAAAAATGCTTTTTTAAAAGCAAGTTCTCTTGCTGTTATTATGTCTGCAAAGATACACTTGGCAGTGTTTGTACAGGTGACACAAGCAGGCAGGCATCAGTATAAAGGTGAGGCAAGTGAAACAAGAGATGAGTAACTGCATAGATTGCCTTTGAAGTCGGAAAACCAGATTGCTGCTGTCAAGTGCAGGAGTGAAGCAATCGGGAGAAATCAGCTGATCTGGTTTTGTGCGTCACAGTGAGGGAGCAGCGGTATGCAGGGGTTATTAACATTGGAAACAGAACTATGTCTATTCAGAAATAAGTCCTGTAGAATTCAACAAGCCTTATTCCCAGGTATGTGGGGTTAGGACTTCAGCCTTAGTTCCTGGCTTGTGGGGGGTGGAAGGATTGATCCATTTCCATCCTCCCTGTTCCTCATTTTTTCCAATTCTCCGCATTTTGCAGCAATTCGCAGTTCTGATTTTTTTAAAAAAAAAACCTTATGAAAATTCACCAGCATTTTAGTGAAAATTTCTCCTTATATGCACATTAGTTT